AGAAGCGTCGCTGTTGGTGGTGGTCTGTTGCTGCTTCTAGCTGAAGCCCAGGCGGATAGCCAATCGTTGTTCGCCGGCGTGCCGCAGATGTCCGACACATATAAGCCGAAGTCGATCATGCAGTTTGCAGGTCGAATACTGTTGATCTTCATGTTTATTTCATTGATGAAGTTCGAGTTGTCGTTCATCCGCATTGTCGAGCTCGTGGTAGGTGGCGCCCTGATGACGTTGGTGTCGATCGGCTACAAGACGAAGTTGTCGGCGCTGGTGTTGGTCATCTGGCTGACGTGTCTGAATTTCTATCTGAACCCGTGGTGGAAATATCCGAAGGAGCGATACTACGTTGACGTGATCAAGTATGACTTTTTCCAGACGCTGTCAGTCATCGGCGGTCTGCTGTTGGTCATCCTGCTTGGTCCTGGTGGCGTGTCTATGGACGACTACAAAAAACGTTGGTGAGAAGGCGACGTTCGATGTTTGATCGCTACCAATGCTGTCTGCTATAATGTGGTGTGGCTGTTTTTTGTAATTGTGTAACGACAGCCGGCCCGCTTGTTTAGCTGTCAGACGCAGTCAGCAAGTTCATATTTTGTTCTGCATGCTTTGTTTCGGTTTTGTACTCGTTGAGGCAGCCAGTTGTCACTACCGACTGCTCATTGACTCTGTGGTGCTGAAACGTATCTGGCACTAGTGGTGAAATAAACTTTCGTTAGTTTTTTATGTCATCTATGGTTGTCGTGACAAACTGCAAACGTCGTTTTCACTAAAAGAGTAACGGAAAGTGAAAGAAATGAAGTGTTATCACCGTTTGAGTTTTCGTTCTCCTTTCCTTGCGTGATTGAGCGCTGATTTTGGTACCTGGTGTTTGTAGGCTATCAACCAACAGTGTCTCATTTGAAAGTAATGTGGCGAGTTCCGCGTGTTGCTTCATGTCTCGTTATTTACAAAGTGGTGATCATTTGTCTACCTCGAAAGGATAAAAGGTGTGGGACTGGACGACCGACAGTTTGACTCCCGGTGGGTATCGAGCAGTTCCAACTATTGATTACTGCCGTTCTGCAGTTCTGAGGGGGGGAGGTGATTACATGAATATTCAACGCATCAGTAAGTGATTACGTTTCGTTTTGCATAAGTTGACAAGCTGCAGGCTACTATTCCATTTATTTATTTAATGTTATTTCACTTCTGTCTTAATAGAGTTGTGGCGCCGTTGATAAAATATATACTACTGTCTCAATTTACGAACGTTAAGTATATTGTGTTTGACGTTTTCACGTAGACCGTTCGTTGCTGTTCGGTACTGCTGTTACCACCTTGCCCGCGTTGAATCTGTATAATTGGGCGGTCGTAATGTACAGCATCGATTTAACCGTTATGTTTATATATCACGAGCGCTGCCTACGATACCGTTGTGGAACTTGTGACATTTCTGCTTACAGTTCTATTGCGGTGACTATTCGAGGTCATTAAATCAACGCGAGGTTCTGCAGTCTCGAGTTTTAATCTGTATTATTAGCAGGTTGTCATCTGCATCAGTTACTTATTGTGATTACAGTACTAAACTTTAGTCACAAGCGTCAGTTTAAAAGTTTGCATTTTTGTGTGACGGTCGACATGTAATGTGACGACGCAAGGTAAGACGGCAATTTAGATAGATGCCTGCAATGTGTAGAGATTTCAACTCATGGCTGTATCACTTTCCTCGAACTTACCGATCTCAAATCACATTGTTCTAGCACAGAGCTTTGAGTGTTATGAAAAATTGGAAATAAAATTTTCATTGATTTTAGTGTAGAAGTACTGATTAGTAGGGAAATAACCCAATTTTTCAACGTATGTCAATTCTGAACAGAATGAAACAATTGGGAGAGCATTACGTTTCTGTGCTTCTGATGAACTGTATCATCGTGTCAAGTTCTACTAAGGGGTCAAATGACAGCTTTTCATTGTACAGCAGTTACTAAAATGACACTACGCGTCGGAATTGGCGCGAGCAACGTATAAAAAGTTTCCAGTACTGAAGCCTTAATTGCTATACGTATGGTAATTATAGACGTAAGAGCAGACCTGCGCTCATCGAGGAATTGTTCTTTCTACGATGTACTAACCGGTGACTTCTAACAAACGTGTTGAAAAACATTATGTGATGGATGCATAACAAAGTAGAATCGTTCTGCTTATGCAAAGGGATTAAGGTGATGATCACATTAAGTACAAACACAGCTGGAAGACTGAAGTAAATGCGTCTACCTCATTTTCTGTGCTGCGTGCTACGCATTCCTCTCGTCGTTGTTTACGAGTCAGAAAATGATTGGCTGCTTTTACAGCTAAAGTTGGCAAATTAAAAAAAATGAAAATATGAATTTCCGTATTTTGTAAAGTGCACCAGTCGTTCAGCGATTCTGACTTTATATTCTGAAATGCGCTTCTAGCCGCCTCGCGAAGCAAGTGGAGATTGCAGTGCCTGAGATCATACCACCTCCAGTAAGATGGCAAGATTTCGTACGTACTCCCATGGCAGATCGAAATTGTTGAACTGTGAGCTAGCATTTTTTGGATTTAAGTGCAATGACTGCACGGTCGCTGCCATTATCTTCGAATGTGATGCGTTGAGAAGTAAAAGAAAACAAACGTTGAAATGCAGAATTCTTTGTTGTTCTTGCTAAAGCAGTTTAATAACATTAGTCACCGTCGGATGTCATAACGAAATTCAGTTCTCAGCGTCTCTGATATCAGCAAGGACGGTGCCTTCCAGTTCGCCCGTCCTGATTTTGACTGAGAATGTCTCTATCCTTGACGAAAGTTCATTCAAAAGACGTAGAACCTACTTTCGGTCCCCATACCATTGCGTTGTTGACAGACGAACTTACTGACTGCTTTCTGTGGCGACGACCTGACCTTCAAATACCGTATTTTAAATAAAGCGTTTCGCGGTCTCGGCATTGCGACACTGCAGCGATTGCACCAATGGCATTCAGGCTTTGAATACTATGTCATATATAATCGCTAATAATGTATCGAAGGTTTTCATGCGTACGGCAGAAAGTATTCTTTTAGGTACAATAG